ACTCTGATTATCATCCCCATCACACAGGTGAGGAAACCGAGGCTCAGAGAAGTTAAAAGAACTGGCCCCACCCAGAGCCAGGGGCTAGGCCGGGACCAGAGCTCAGGCCTCCCGGCTTCTGCTTTGGAAGAGGGATTCGCACTGGGAACCGGGCCTGAGCTGGAGGAGGAGTGACCCCCAGGTGGCAGTGGGCGCGCAGGTGTCTTTATTTTGGCGCCTCCTGAGTTTGCTGTCTGTCTGCCTGAGCCCTGGAGGTGCATCCCCAAACCCCACTCTCCCCGCCCTGGGCCCCCAGCCCTCCTCTCCACCCTCCTCCTGGCTTAGCTGAGGACTAATTCCTTTTCCCATTAGGTGAGCCAAGACAAGATTAGGGCTTTATTAAAAGGAAATTAAACTAGGAAATGAAAGGATAAACAAATCCCCAACGAGAAAAAACAGCAGCAGCAAAGCAGATGAGGGTACTGAGCACGTTCTTCATCCCACGGGGCGGACACCTGCCCACACAGCGGTGTGGCTGCCACCCGGCGCCGTCAGCCTCGTGTCTCCCCCCTCGCCGGCTCTGCAGGTGGGCCGTGGCCATGGTGGTCTCAGCAGACGTGGTCCTCTCGGGGCCTGGCGGTGGCGCCGTGGTCTCTAGCACCTCTCTCATATCGGTCCCTCCTTTGGCCCTTTTCTGGGTCTCACGCGTAGAAAGCTGCTAGGTCGGCCAGCTGTTCCCCGGGCCAGGGACCCAGGTAATGGCTTCCACACATCTTACCCCATGGGTGGGGAGAAGCTGCATTTCATACCCCTCTGCATCCCATTTCCCAAGGCCGTGGGTGTCCCAGTCCACCCACCTCTCCAGCCTCACCGCCCTTCCTCTCTGCTCCTGCCCACTGTCATTCCTATGGCCCCAGGCTCCTCGTGGCCTCTGCCTGTGCCCTTCTCTCCCTGCAGTCCTCATCCCCCTTGCCACCTCTTTTCTTGGCCCAATCCAACATTTTCTTCAGACCCAGTCTTAAATGTGTCTTTCTCAGGAAGGCGTTCCCTAACCTCCCTAAGCAAGCTAGGTTTCTCAAGGCCCCTTGAAATCCTCCATTGCTCTCATGATAGTGGTAATTAGTTCTTTAATGCCCATCCCCTTTGCTAGACTCTAAGCTCCTTAAAAGCCAGGACCAAGATGTGTCCTACTCAACACTAAAACCCTGAGCTCTAAATGCCTGGCAAATAATATGTATCCATTCCGTTCATCCATTCACTTATTCAGTCATTCATTCAGCAAATACTTCCTGAGCATCTGCGGTGTACTATGTACCATGCTAGGTGCAAAGAGTGCAGCAACAAACAAAGCAAAGTGCCCACTGTCATAGTGCTGGCACAGCAGCCACTCATTCTATGTTTAGGAACACCTGTTCCTTCTCACTGAGATGTTTCTAATAAGAAAAGTTGCAGCCAGTGGACTGGCTGCCCTGCATGGAGGTAAGCTCCCTGTCACAGGAAGTATTCAAGAAGAGCCCAGATGACCCAGTGTCATGATGCTGCAAGTAGAGCCTCCTGAAGGTCCCTTTCCCCAAAACATCTTTGATTCTCTGAAGGACGCTGTGGGCTGGCTGCTGTGTTGTAGATATCAAGCCACCGCCAGACTCAACCCACAGTGGGGAACAAAGTGAGATCAGGAAAAGGATCCCGGGCAGCTTCGAGAGGAATATCGTCTCCATGTTTTCTTGGTGGAAGTAAACAGAATTCTCTTGAAAGCTGGAGCCAAACATTTTCATTTTATATAAAATTAATTTCCATAAAAAAAGCTATCCCAGGGAAGCTATGTTTTTAAAGTACACTTTTTTTTTTAGATTATAAAAAGTGATCATTTTGGAAAACACAGAAAAACTTGAAAGAAAATTGGAAGGACTCTTAATTCGCCTACCCAAAGATAGTCATTATAGACATTTTCATTTACCTTTATTTTCTTCCAATCTTTTTTGATGAATATATAAAAATACACATGTTAAAAAAAATGGGACTACATATTGTGTCTTGTTCTCTTCACTTAGATTGTGAGTATTTTTCACTTCACTAAATATTGTTCCAAAATAAGATTTTTACTAACTATATGATGTTCCCATTTACATATTATCTACTGAAATCACCCCAAAATTTAGTGGCTTAAAGCAACACTAATCATTATCTCTTATAATTTCTGTGGTTCAGAAATTTGAGAGTGGCTTTGATGGGTGATTCCGGTTTGGAGTCTGTGGTTTGGTTGCAGTCAGATGCTGGCTGGGCCTGCAGTCATCTGAAGGCTGGATTGCTACTTCCAAGGTGGTTCACTCTCGTGGCCGCCAAGTGGCTCCTTTCTTCATGGCCTTTGCACTGGACTGCTTGGGTGTCCTCACAACATGACAGCTGGCTTCCCCCAGGGTGCATGGTCCCAGAGAGACAATGAGCTAGGCAGAGGCTATGTCTCTTCTATGACCCAGCCTTGGAGGTCACACCTGCCATTTAGGCAGTATTCTCTTTGTCATACAGGTGAGCCCTGTTGTGTTGGAGGACAAGAATACCAGGAGGGAAGAGCATATGGAGACACCATCAGGCTGACTACCACCCCCTCCTACTTCTGTAACCACCACTTTCTTAATCCCCTACTGTTGGACAACTATATTATGTCTGCTGTTTTGCTATTCTGTGGAAGCCTTAAGCATTTCATGTTGTACAAGTGCCTCACCTGCAGTTGGTTTCACTTAGTCCAGCCAGGGTTCCAGAGTCATTTGGGGGCGTACCCAGAGCTGGGCCCCCTTTGGACCACACCCTATAAGCACTGACACGATGATATCCTGGTAATTCAGTGAATTATCAGGGTCTGGCAGGAAACAATTCAACTCAGACTGTAATGAAGGAACTTACAGGGATGTGAGCAGGGAAGGAAACTAACAAGATTTGAGGCACCCTGAGACTGGCCAACAGAGGTGAGCCATGGCCACCCTGAGGCCCGTGGGGGCAGGGCAACAGAGCTGCCAGAACCACAGTGCAAACAGAGAAGATAGACCCTAATCTCCCTCCTCTGTCCACTCTCCTGTCTCCGTCTCTCCCTCCTTCCCTCTATCCTTCCGCTCGTTCCTCCTGTTGGCCAAACTGAAACAGTGGTCAGCCAATAGCCAGCATGGAGCCCGATTAATGTGGTCCACGGGGCCAGCCTAAGGGTGAAGAGAGAAGCCTGGGGGCTGGATGGGAGGCTGGAGAGAAGAGGAATGGAGACTAGCCAGCACACTGTCTGTATCTGGGGGACATCCATAGGGTCCAGAACAATATATCAGAACAGAGGTAAGAACCCCTGCCATGCTGTAGATGTGGAGTAATTTTATTATTGTTAATAATCATAACAGCAGTTTAGCCATAACGTGTTAAGTATTTTCCATGTCCAGGGCAAAGTATTACATTACAGGGCGTTTTACACATGCTGTTTCTAATCTTTATAGCCAATCTGTTAGGCACATGTTATTATGAGCATTTTTCAGGCAGGGAAATATGGGCTTGGAAAGGCTCAGGACCCTGCCTGAGGTTACCAAATTAGTAGCAGAGCTAGGACTGGACTCCAGTCTGTTTTACTCTCAACTCCAAGTCCCCTACTCTCAAAGCAGCCTAGGCCAGCCTCATGGCGTGGACTGATGTGGTTTCTGCAAGAAGCCTTCAAAGACTTCTTCTAGAACAGAGCAATACTTCTTTGAAAAAAGAGTAAATCTTTAACACACCATCTCATCTGGACAGCTGCCCAGGAGTTCAAGTATCCAGGAGTTAAAGTGTGTTTGGCAAATTATGAGTTTTGTGCCAGTGCATACAAAGTAGTCAGGAAGAAAAAAAAGCAAGATCCCCCTTGGAATAGTGGAATGAGGGACACAGCGCTCAGCAAGGTGAGCTGACGTAATGGAGGTCACCTTCGAGATCTCAGTCAATTGCTGTGCTGAGGCTGCCGCTGCGGGAGGTATGCCGCCCCGTCCCCCCATCCCCCAAGACAACGGCCTGGCAGCTCTGGGCACCCAGGAGGCACTCTGTCAATTACTTGGTTCTAGAAGAAAATTTCCCCTTTGCTGCAGATGGATGGGTGTGAGGAGGATTGGAGAGAAGTAGGGGATGGAAGGGGGAGAGAGATGTAACTTAGTTGCATGACTTCACAGTCTGCCTTTTGCAGTAATGAAAATCACCCACTCTGTCTTCAGTACTGGACATGTGGTAAAAAGTTCAGGAACTTCCCTGGTTTGTTTTCATCTACATCCTTGGGATTCTTCCGTAAGGGAGAAGTGGCTGTGGCAACATCATGCTGGAGAGGTCACCTCGGTGGAGGAGGGGCTGGAGCTGGGGGGAGGACCGTGGCTCAATGCTTGGCTCTCCTGGAGCTGCGGCCAGAACCTGGTGGGCTTGGGGGGTTTGTTTTGCTTTTCTCTTCCCGGTAGAGATTCTTCTATTTATACTTCAAACTCTAGGGGTCATGATTGAAATACCTAATCAACCCTGGGGTCGTGAGACATTTACCTGGGTAATCTCGCTAACTGGAAGCCGAATCTGCTCAGGGGTCTCTGGAACGGTCACCCGAACACTCAGCTTATGCTGGAGATGCAGGCATAGCATGGGGGTAGGGGTTGCAGTGGGAAGGAGATGCTGGTGGGAGTGGGCAGCCCGTGTGTTTACAAAGTTCCCAGGGCCGAAAAGAGGGGACCAGGTCTCCATCCAAGCCTTTGCCAGCCAGTGGGACAATGCATGGACTGGAATTTGAAATCAAATATGATCTGAGCCTAAAATGTGGAAAGCACAGTGGGGCTTGGTGGACTTTGGCCTCAGATCCTGCTCACAGTAGGCGTTCCCTCAGTCAGCATTACAGTGTGGGGTTGGTTCAGGATGGGGCCTCGGGAGCCAGACCACCTGGGTTTACATCCCCTGCTCTGTGATCATGAGCGAGTGACAGATAATAGCCCTGCCTGATGGGGTTGTGACAAAGGTTAAATGACTTAGTACTTGTGAAGAGCTTAGCACATAGTATCTATTAGTCATTATTACCCCTAGTTTTTAGCCCCATTTTCAAATAGCAAAGATGGCCCTTATACCTGAGTTTTTTCAGGACCCCTGTCTGGGGGCT